ATTAAAATTCAATAAGAGCAGCTTACAAAGCCAGGCTCTGGGGGAATTTGTTTTTCTTTTGAAGGTAGGGGCTTGTAAAAAAATTGATGTTGTCTAATAGTAATTTAGAGGAAAACTTTTTTATTTTAATTTGGTAAACAAAAACAAGCAATAGAAAGGCAAACAGAACACAGTGGCATCATTGCTAAGGATTTTGACACATTTATTACTGCATAATTGGCTTTACCCCCTTCACATTCTACTGGCTTTGCATCATTTCATTTGATGACCTGTTTTTTTCACTATCCAGCAACAACATCTCCTTTCCTTGTCAGTGTAATTCTGCCAATTAGCATCCCTTTTTTTTTTTTTTTTTTTACATCAGCTTGATTTTTGATAATGTTTTCTTTATGGCAGAAATTTTATCTGTTTGCTTCTTATTCTCAGCAGAATGGGGGAACAGTAAGTGTCTAAATGGAGGACCATGAATTTCTTGTTAAGGTTCCTGGATTTGTGGGGTGTTCGCTGAGTGTTTTTTGAATCATTTTCACATTAATGCCAATGACAGGCTCTGTTTATTTTTCAAATGAGACAGGCAACGAAATATTCAGTTTCTGGAAAGTGGCAGAATTGTCACTTAATTTTTAGCAGCATATTCGTGAGTCATGAGTTGTTAATGTTATAATATAGTTGTTAACATTAATATCACACCTACAGAAGTCAGGTGGGAAAGAGGACCTCTTTCACTAGGCCACATACAGATGCCTAGTGAGAAACTTTACCTAAAAAAGCTGTCCTCGCACCCAAAAGCTGGCACTGGAAAGGCCACAGGTAGGTAATGGAGATTGTATCAGAGAGAGAAGAACCCCAGAAATGTTGAGAAATCCTCGGTTTGTTTCTCTCTAAAAACCAAAGAAGCATTGAGCTCTTTTTATTTGCCTTTTGGATTTTGAGCTTTTAAAAGTACACTTGCTTTGGAACTACTTCTAGCGCTGGGACAAGCGTGAAGCAGGATATTTTCATAGATGTCCCAAAGACATGACGTACTGAGGAACTCAGAAGTGATATGATACTTGCACCCAAGTGATTTTCGGTGGTCCTGGTCCTATCACCCCTTCAGTTGTGGGTTTGTCCACATAGATCTTTAAGTCTGAATGGCCATCAATACCTCTGCTCGATGCAGTGAGTGTCCAGAATGTGTCTGTGCCCATCCGTACGGTGCAGCCCCTTTGCTGATAACTGCTGCTTCTCCCAACACAGGTCATGCTCGGGGCAGAGGGAGAAGAGCCCCTGCCCTGTTGGAGCTGCTCCAACTTCAGATTCAGTTGAAGTGCTACAGAAGAGAAACTTTGGAGACATGATGTTTGCACTGAGAAGCCCTTTCTGTGCTTCAGGACCTTGGGTAAGAATCCAAGAATCTTTTCTATTACAAGGAAAGGCTGAGGGACTTGGGGCTTTTTAGTCTGGAGACGAGAAGGCTGAGAGGGGATCCTATCAACACCTATAAATACTTCAAGGGCGAGTGTCAGGAGGATGGGGCCAGTCTTTTTTCAGTGGTGCCCAGGGACAGGACAAGAGGGAACGGGCACAAACTGGAATGTAAGAAGTTCCATCTCACCATGAGGAGGAACTTGTTTGCTGTGAGGGAGTCAGAGCCCTGGCAGAGGCTGCCCAGAGAGGTGGTGGAGTCTCCTTCTCTGGAGACATTCCAAACCCTCCTGGACACGTTCCTGTGGGACCTGCTGTGGGTGCCCCTGCTGTGGCAGGGGGTTGGAGGAGATGATCTCCAGAGCTCCCTTCCAACCCCAACCACTCTGTGATTCTGTATCTAGGAGCTTAGCCCAGAGCCCTGATGCAATTTTTCCCTGAAAGAGGAGATCTTCCATCCTTTATTAGCTCAGGTTTAAATGTTGGCTCCCTCCTTCCAGAAGTGGCAAGGCTTGAAAAAGCAGGGTGGAATCTTGCTTGGATTCTGTGGGAATGCTGAACATTTATTTTATGGTGTGGACATAGACAGAAATGCTTCTGAGTGAGTGTGTGTCCTCGGAAGAGAGCTGAGTGTGAGAGTGAGAAGAAGAAAACCTTCGGAAAGAGAAGAAGAAATCTGTGCAGCTCATTTCTGCAGTGAGGAGAGAGGGCTCAGTCCCAGGGGTCTGCAGGAGATGGCAGGAGAGAGAGGAGGAAAGCAGTTTTCTGAGGGAGCTGAAATGCTGCAGCAAGATGCAGGGCCTTTCTCAGCCCAGTTTTTCTTTGCCATCCCTTTGCAGAGATATTTTAGCTTTGTAATTAGCTCTGTGTTCTCTGCAATTTGAGCTTCTGTTTCTAAGCGAGGGACATTTTCTAAGCAAGTGTCCTGAGCCCGGAGCTCTGGAACAGTGAATGGATCAACGTTGAGAGAAATGTTTTTTCCACCACTTTGAGAGAGCGAGCCTGACAATGGATTGGAAATTATTTCTCAGTGAAAAAAAATCATCCTGCTGCTGAGCACTGCGATGGGGGGATTAGAGAATCATTTCTAGTTGTTTGGAGGCAGCACTGAGGAAGAGAGGGGTGTGGATTGTGCCACCGGCTGCTTGGTGACACCAGAATTAATCTGTATTTTTGGGAGGTGGGTGCTGTTGCTGCAATCCCCAGAACAGCCAGCAATTCTGTCTTCTGAGCCCGACAGCTGTTGCAAAGCTCAGTGTTTGCAAACTGAGGGTTTTGATTAAACCACAGCAGAGGAAGTTTTACAGTGTGGGTAAACCACAGATGCTTCCTGGCTTTCAAAAATCCCTTTATTAAAATTGGGAAGAGATAGCATAGAAAATATTTCTTCCTCTTTCTTCCTCTTTTTTTCTATTCTCTCCTTTCATGGAAAACGTGTCTATGGTCATCTCTGAGAGTGCAGATTCCAAGAAAGCTCCTTGCCCGTGGTGGGATATATAGTTTTTATAGTTTTCAGGCGGTTCTTCCAGCTGCTGCTGCAGATTCAGAGCAGGGTGCTGTACAGTGTGTAATGCTAGGAGGTATACGGTGTTTGGTTCTGTTTAGTCCAAGCTGATATAAGCAGCATGTTGATTCATCCCTGGCAACTGAAGCTCGCCTGGTGCCAAGCCTAAAACATACCATGGTGAGAAAGCAGGAGGTTGGAGAACTGCAAATACAGCTGTTAGTTCCGTGCCCTGCTCACTGGAGAAGTTCTGTGTTGACAAACGCGTTATCTTCTCCCAGCCATTTGAGATTATTTTTTTTAATTCTTCTTGAGGCAGAGTGATTTCTATAATTAGCAGTCAAAAGAAGGAAAGGGGTGGACCAGCATTTTTATTCTGATGGAAGGTACCATCTTTGGCAAATACCATACAATTGTTTGTGGGAGGCACCAGCACCACCACCGCTCAGTGGCACCTGCGAGCCTTGCTGTGACCCTGCACCAATATATGGAGCATAATTAGTACCTTCTCAGGCTTGTTCCTTTTCCAGCAGCAGTTCCCAAATAGCTTAACATCTCAATCAAACAGGCAGCTGCACGTAAAGAGAGCCACGCTAAAAAAAGACAAGATCTGAACTTTAAGGAAGGCCAGGAACATTCTGCTGTGTTACCACACTGTGGTTTGGGGCATTTGATGAGCAGGTAACTCATTAAACGAGTTGTCTGCTAAAGGACTGCTGAAATAAAGAAATTGTCTGCATCAGAGGAGGCTTCTGAAGATGACTCTGCCTGGGACTTTGAGAAAAGGCCCGATGCTGTCTCTCTTATTACCACAGGCAGGTGAAATCTGCGGGCAATGCAGTGGCATAGACTCAGTTTGCTCACCCTGAAGAGCACTGAAGAGGAGGAGGGATGGTGGAATTGGTGACAGATTTGCAGGCTGCCAGTCCTGCCCATGTACAAGGTGCCCAGCAGGACCCTTCTGGCCTCAGTGCCAGTGACACTGGACTTCTCTTCCCGTGAAGGGCACCGGTTGTGGATTCATGCCATTAGTTTCCAAACCAGCTCTTTGGGAGTCTCAAACCAATGCCCAAGGAACAAAGCACCTAAATGCTTTTATCCCTTGAAAAAGCACCTTGTGGGTGCACTGTCATGGACCTAGACTTTTCCAACATGATCCACATCAGCGAAACTATGAAGAATCCACGTTTGCCGGGCGCAGAATTGGCAGCTCCAGAGCACTGTATTTAGTGGATGCAAAGAGATTCCTTCTCCATTCTGTCTGACCTGCTGAGCTCTGTCAGACCGAACGGGCCCTCAAGGGGGTTCATCTCCTGACACTATTTAAATGACAGTCTTTTTAGGTGACGTAGCCCCTCCCCTCCTCCAAATAGAACTGCGCTCCCCCAAAAAAATGTACTACAAAAGCCATTTTTCATTCTTTAGTTCTCAAATTTTCACTCCTATTTATTTCTCTAGCAGTAATTAATATCACAGAATTAACAAGGGAGGCAGCCACAAAGGGGAATAAATAGACTGTGACTGAAGTTTGTTGCTTTTTCTCATTTGGGTAGGAACCGGCTGGTGTTCAAAATGTCCAGGTAGAAGAAACCTGAGTACAACCCCAAGACCCAGGAATTGGTGAGTTCAGTTCAAATATTCAGACTGTATCATCAGTATTTCAGTTAATGACAGCTATAGAATAACAGACTGACAAATCTGAGGAACAGGCTTGTGCTTCAGAGGAAAAGCTGAAAGAGTAGTACCTGGGACCCATTGCTGAACAGATATATTTATGATAAATCAAGAAGTTGGTTTTTTGGATTAGTCTTGCTTTTAGTGGAGAACTTTATAAATCTCATCAGCAGGTATTTTGATCTACAGATATAATTATTTCTCGATGCAGCAAGGGGGACTGGGTTGGAGCTGCCCTGGGCCCCGATGGTTGAACCCCCCAAGAGGAGGCACAGGCTCAGGGCCCTGGAAAGTCTTGTGATTCCCTCCTTTTTCCAGCTCCACAGTCTTTGTTACAAACAGAAGCGATGTTTTCTTTGTCTGATATCAGAAGAAAGCTGTAGGTATTAACAACAACTAGCTTTACATGCTGAAATATTACTATAAATACTGCTCGAACAACCCTGTTTCAGCTGCTCCAATGACTGGCAGAAGAAAATGAATGAATGTTCTCCTCTTCATCAGAAAGCATCTGGAGTAATTGTATCCGAGTTGATAATCAGAGTTCTCTTTTTCTCTTATGTCACAATAAATGGAAGGTAATCCATTTTAATCATGTCTTTGCTCCAGCCCAGTCAGAGAGCAGTGAGTCATCCCTGGCTGCAGGGAACCTGCCGCTGGTTTAAGCTGGTAATGCAAAGGGTTGGATTTGGTTTCCTACTTGTATCAAACACTTGGATATTATGCAAGTTGCGTATCTCCTTCAAACCAGAAACATCTTGACATTATTGTCAGACAGGGCTTAAAGAGCATGAGTTTCACAAGATAAAGAACAAACCCCACGAGGCATAAATCATTTGGGTAGTTCATAGCATGTTTCACTTAATCCCGTCGTTGCAGGGCTCTTCTAGATCCTCCATTATCAAATCATGCTGGTTATTCACCCAATTACCTTTCTTAACAGCCTTCTCCTCCTCCTGAGCAGTCTGACGAGCTCGATCCCGGGGTGCCGGGTAGTTGGCAGCTGGCAAGATGGCATTGCTTTGGCCTTGCTGAGAGCACACCTCCCTGTGAACCATCTCCCTGAAGCAGAGCTGAAGTTTAAAGGCTGCCTGAAAGCCTCGGCGGAAGTTCTCGTTGAAGAAACCATAGATGATGGGGTTGACGCTGCTGTTGAAAAAGGCCAGCCAGTGAGCAAAGGGATAGATGTAAATGTTGATGATCTGCAGCTGGATATCCGACAGGTTGGCGTAGTCCGAGAGCATCATCAGAGTCCACAAGGGAAGCCAGGAGAGGGTGAAAAGCAAAGCCACGATAATGAGCATCTTGATGACTTTTTGTTTCTTCTTGGACACGCCGTGCCGCTGCTCCTGGCCGTGTTTCCCCACCGCGGGCATCGCCGTGTTGAAGAGGGCAATGCTGATCCTGGCATACATGATAACGATGAGCGACAGGGGGGCCAGGTAGATGTTGGCAAACAGAACCGTCGTGTAGATCTTCCTCATCCCCGGGTTCGGCCAGTCCTCCCGGCACCAGTAGACGGGGCGGGTTTCGTTGCCGTAGCCGAGGATCACCCTGAAATGCTTCTCCTCTCGCACCTGCAGCATGACTGCAGAAGGACACATGATGGCCACGGCCAGGATCCAGATGACGGCGATGATGACAACCGCAGTCGAGATGGTCAGCTTCTGCTTGAAGGGGTAGACAATGCATCGAAACCTGCAGCAGAGACACCCGGGGACGTATGAGGAGAAGCCATTGAACGAACGCTTAATCAAACAGGCAAGCCTACACTTTTTTTAAAAAGTATGGATGGAATCATAGAATCATCATAGAATCATAGAATTGCCCAGGCCAGAAGGGCACACATTTTAAATTGTATGGTTTTTTTAAAACGTACGAATGGAATCATCTCCTCATCCTGCATAAAAAAAAGTTGCATTTAGTTGCTCCATTTAAGAGCTGTGCTGGTAAAAACAATCTTGAAAAACATCAGGTTTGCTGTCAAAATGTCTCATTTTGATTTGCCTTCATACCAGCCTCTGG